CAATACCGTTGCAAGGAATTCAACAATCCATCATCAAAATTTAAGCCTTGAAACAGTGGCTTATCTTCTTTAAATGCTTTATAAAGACTAATTCCTTCTTACTCCATTATTGTTCCATAAAAAAGAGATGGTTGAGCAAAGCTAATAGCTTTAGCTGCAACTAAAAGACCAATTTATATATTTCCTTTCAATTGGCACTGAAATAAGTTTATGATGTACATACATATACATACATATGTAGCTGCTGATAGTTTAACTTTCATACAAACATACTTACATACATACATACATACATATTAGAAAGCACGTTCATATCCATGCAATTTGTACGCCCGCAATTTCCCTGAACGCTGAATGCTAAACATTGAATAATTGAAATTCGATTTTATTGAATTTGCATTCAATGACATTCTATAAAGGATCCTGGTTTTCCCTTTTAGCCGCAAGCTGCGTTTCACACTGCCAACTGTATGTATGTTGCAATTTAATTAGGTGAAAGTGCGAAATGCATACACACATATGTACTGTATGCAAGTATTTACTTGTGTACACATATAGTGCTTATGTAATACGATAAGTGCAAAAACGATATGCACTTAAATGAAAAACAATTGAATTTAATGATGAGCTACTTTGCAACAGAATTTATTGGATTTCGCTAACTACTATACACAATAAAATTAATTTCTCAATTATTTTGACGAACAATTTGCACGCGTTGCACTTTTATTTATTTACATGCGCGTTTTGAAGGGGAAATGTCGATAAGAATGAAACATTAAAATTTTGTTTTTATTTACATAAGACTCTTATTTAGTAAAAATAATTGCTTTTCCTTTATTAGAGCTTCAATTTCCAAGTACACATCCATCGCGCTCACTTTTCATGGCTTGATATAATTAGCATTGAAATAATTAGCATGTTGGCCAAAGTTGCCGCATACTGCGAATAATAAAGGTATACATAGATACACATGAGGAAAAAACCAACAGCTCCACCATCGAGGAATACAAGTTAAGCATGGATGTCGGTAGTTTTTTCCCCACTAATGATTCCAAGTGTTCTTTTCCATAGACAGATATCTGTTGAGATATGCACTGGGATACACTGGGATCTCTCTTAGGGTACGCGCACATAGAGCCTTCTTAGCTGAAATTTTAGATTAACTGTTTTTAAGCAGAAAGTTGGGCTTATGTCAGCAAATAAACCTGTTTTCAAAGTGTGCACTTGGGCAGCTGAGAGATGAGCTGAAAAAAACACACTTAAAAACATATTTTAAAAAATTTTTCAAAACATGAAATAAATATTTTTTCCAGGATAAAAAGTGTGTACAGTGGATAGAGTGTATATTACTATATAAGGAAAAAATCAGTGCATACCGCTACTATGGCTTTGCGATTTAAACAAATCTCAAGTAAAACTAAATAACACCACAGAACCTTTAAATGCACTAAAATTCAATAAAACTTACGCAATAATTACCTTTTTTATTTTCTTTATTAATTGTTTTTATAAATCAGATATATTTTTACAATTTAACACAATCAAAGCACCTTTCTTGAGGAAAAATTTAATATTAAGTGAATTGACTATTTGACAGTTTATTTTATCCTCGTACTCGGCTTTATTTACTCTCAATTGAGAATTGTTATCGCCGTCAGGAATGCGCAATCTTGTATCCTATCATACTTGTATTTTTTTTAGTTTTTAATTTCTATGCGATCTTCTTTATTGCATTATTTATGTATATTATATCGAGTTTTTTTGTATTCCATATTTTAAATTGTTCTTCTTATTTCACAAATTACTCAGTTATCCAATTGACATCCATCAAATTCATTGCCGTTACGATTGCCATTACCATTCGCATTCTCATTTAAATTGCCACCACCGTTACTTATCATTACCGCTATTAATTACCTTGGCCACAAAGATTACCATCACCAAGTTCCTTTGCCATTACCATTACTCTTACCATAACAATATGCATTACCCCGACCATCTCCATTACCGTTACCAATTACCATTATCGTTACCAACTACCATTACTAGTTACCATACCATTACTAATTATAACTACCATTACCATTACCAGCACCACAACCCTTGACATTGCCATTGCCATTACCGTTGATAGCTATTAATTATTTTAAAAAATATTTTGGATTATCAAATATGATCAAAGTTATTACAATCTAAAACGACATTAAAAATTATAAGCGAGCATCGGCTTAGCTAAGTAAATGGTGTGTGCACTTACATACATATATACTTGGTATAAGCAAGGAGCTTGTTTACTTAGCGCTTATTAGCCTGCTATAAGTTCTCAAATTTCAGCTGTCAGTGGCTTCAAAAGCAGTATAACAAAAATAATTTGAGTCGTTCAACCAGAACCCGAATCAGCGATCACCCATTGAGTAACCTTTTAATAAGTTCGTCGAATATTTTCCTAATACACTCCACACCCCCAAGTAAATTCGACAGTTCAAAATTGCCTTTTGGCCGGAAAATGCGTACGCACAGTGTAAAATCAATTAGTTGTAAGCATAATCACGTAGGACAACAACCACACGTCCACTTTGTGCTCATCGTTTAAGTTTAGTTAGTCCAGCACTCATACGCCATGTTGACCAGCCGCCGTCGGACCGCACTGGTAGTTGCGGTTGTGGACACTGCACTGCCAACCAATAAATAATTTGTATGCACTGCGTATATTATAAATGCACCCATTTACATTAACAAAATGGGTTAGTAGTTTATGAATTGGCCTTTCCCAGCAGCCGCCATTAAATATAAATTCCGAAAGTCTAGCGTGGCGTATACGCAATGCTAAGCGAAGTGGCATAGTGCCATTTGTGCGTGTGCATTTTATAATTTAGCGCAGCGCGAAAATGGTCATATCTACACGTAGCTCAAACGCAAATGCAGGATTTGGTGGCTTCTATCGATAACGGCAGGAAGTGTTAGTCGATTCATTGCTCACCGTTGCATCTGCTGCAGAAATTCATTCAATTCATTCTGAAAAGTTTTAAATGGAAATAAATGTGCATTAAAAAACTCGCATTGCTGTATATGTATATGTATATGTAAATCACAATCAGTATCTAAAGTTATTGCAAACTTTGCTTCACGCGAATTAGCATCAGCACTGCAATAGTATTCCACTTTTGTTACACTCACTTTTAGCTGAAACCTTATAAAGTTTTGAAACATGTCAAAACTCCATTAGCTAGGTTTACGCACCTTAGTACGTGCATATAGCGAAGATAATAAAAAGTTTCGGTTTAGTTCATTTAAATTTACAAAAATATAGGAGAAAATGTGAATAGTTATGAGCAGCTCAATTTAATAGCCAGATAGATGCACTTTGCTTTGATCGATGAGAAAGTAGCCCTGTATCGAATTATTCGCATGGAGTATATATGCCTCAATTCGATAATGATCAGATCAGATATTTGGCTATATCAACTAACTTTTCCTCAGCCTTACTTGAGTGGCATGATTCGTCAAGATCTGGGACCAAATTTTGTTCGATTTTATTTCACCGAGTTTTAAAAACATTACACCTTTGGGTTCTCTCCAATCATCGTCGCTGAGGCGAATTTGTGAAACCCTTTGGGTTCCTAACTGAATAATAAATAGATCAAGAATAAAAAGCAAAAGGGAACCGGCCGTAAGTGCAAATATTTTTGTTATAACAAGCGCAGCAACAAAATATAATTCTCTTCTATCGGAATCACAAAGGCTTTTCGTAACTGTACTTATACACATACACAGTCCAGTTGGGGCATTTTATTCAGTGCATTCTGAGTAGCGTTTGTAAATGGGCTAGCCTATTTATTGGAAATATGTACATGCATCTTTCTTAGACACGCACTTCCAAATGTATGTATATGTATATGAATCTATGTAGTAGTATATCTACTAGGTGGGTGAGACGTATTTCACTAGAAATAAATACCTTTACACAAAGTAAGTAAAGATGCCAAGTGATAAATTTAGAAGCATTAAAAAATGTATAATAAAATATTGTTCAATGAGCTTTCAGGCATCGAAAATTCCGTTTTCTTATGAGAAGTTATCAAGCATGCACACAGTCAAGGACGAAGAAGCGGCATACTTTTGGCAGAAAGGGCGAAGCATTTGCTAAAAAGTAAAAATATATATTTTAAATTCGAAGGGGAGGTACTGGAAATATAAGTAGTTTTCTAATAAAAATTTGTGAAATAAAATCTGTACATTTTAATCTTTTATCGACCGTTTTTCGAAGTGTGCAATTTCTTTGCCCTAAGCTTTATAAGAGTAAGTTCAGTTTTTCATCAGCCTGCACTTAAATTGTATTTGTTGTAAAGGTTGGTGGATTTAACAAGAAACACTTTAGAATTTAATACGAATTTGGTAATTTTTGGCAATGACTTTGGCATTTCAAGCAAAAGTGTCCAAGCCATCTATTGAAATTTCATCGAATTTTACTTTTTTATTTAATGTGTGAACGTATGTATGTACGTGCATGCAAAGAATAGAGATAGATATTGACATATAAATGTATACCAAAACGCTCAGAAAGAATTAGTATGTGAAGTAGAATTTACGCATAATATAAGACAATTATGAAATTTTTGGAAAATATGCGTAGCGATACCTACTTAGTGAGAAATGCTGTATCTAAGTTGCCGCTTCACCAGCCGTACGAACATTGCTTAGGGTCTGACTAGTAAACTTGTTGAACATTTTTGGAATCTAAAATTACGCCCATTTTCCATGAATGGGCGTGGCACCGCCTACGCAAGTCTATCTCCATAACCTATTAATCGAGTTTTACCTAATTTGGGTCATCAAGTCTAACCAAGCATATTATAGAAATGTATTAACAAATGAAAACAAACATTTACTTTCACATTTTTAGTGTCGAGATTTTCAATACTGTTTATTAACTTCCAGGATGCGTATTAAAACGTTGAATTATTTACTACAACTACCATTTTTTTTACAGCTTTACACTTGTAGTAAATAATAGCTGCTACCATTACCTTTAAATAAATTTTTTTATTTGCTATAAGTCCATTGTGTTACAAATTTTTGGTAGATATATGATAAAGACAAGTTATTATTTATTTATTTATTTAATATATTTCAGCAAGATTTTGGCAGCTTCATCTTCCCAACAGAATCCGGCGCAGTTGACAATCACACGCACTTAAATTTGAAGATTTCCGCGCCATTGCCGGGAAATGTCGCGAATACAACATCATTAAAGTCGTTAGCCCCGTAACGATCCAGCAAATGTGGCGGCAGCAGTGTGAAATATTTTTCCTTTAACATTTTTATGTATTTAGCCGAAGCTTCGACTGAATCACAGCAAGCAACAATGCAGCCACCCCAGCTGAAAGGAGAATACAAAAACATATAAAAACATGCGTACACAGTTAAGGCGATAAGCGAAGTGAATTGTGTAAGTACACGTGCATGTACATTAGGGCGGGTTGATTTGTATGGATGAAAAAAAAAAAATATTAAAAATCGTATAGCAAAATCGTAATCTACATTAAATTCTAAGAAAATTCTCAGAAGAAACCATGGGTCTAAAATCAAACCCTAATCCGCGCCTCTCGACTTGAAAATTTTTTTGTTTATCTTCTTTCGCTAAAATTATTTTCTTTTTTTGAAATATATTATAGTTTATGCAGGTTTTGTTTTGAGACTAATCAAAATATTCAATTATCAAAAAAGCAGTTGAACCCCAATTTGCATCTCCTCTGATTTGCGTACTTGGGTGAATATTTTTTTTAATGAAAAAAAATTATGAGCGTAGAAAAAATATAAAGTGCAAAAGAACTACCTTACTAAACAATTTTATTCAGAAAATTCGATTTCTTTTTGGAAAAACCTATTTTTTCTAACATTTATTTTTTTTTGGCAAAGGCGGCCATATAAATTTTCAAGTCGTGAGGCGCGGATTAGGATTTTATTTTATATACATAGTTTCTTCGGAGAATTTTCTTAGAATTTTATGTAGTTTACGTTTTTGCTATAAGATTAAAAAAAAAATAAAAATCAACCCGCCCTAATGTACATATATACTACATATGTACATAAATATTGTTGCGCGATAAAGAGGATGTTAAAGTAAAAGTAGTACAGCTTATAAATATAAATGTCCTACCCAGCACCGGTGAGCCGTGCGCCCACACCTGCCTCATCGGATAAGGCAATCAATCGATCCAGATCAACGTGTGAACACTCGTACAGCTCCTTAAGACTTTGATGCGATTGACGCATCAATTGTGACAGCACGGTGAAGCGTTTCGTCGAATTCGTTAGGCCCCCATCATCATCATTTTCTTGGAGTTCGCTGACACTGCTGCCATTCGATGTGCCATGGACGCCGTTAACACCATTGTGGAGGTGTGGAGGCGAGTGCTTATTCGCGATATAGCTGTCGCCGTCACCGTTTGTTTGCGCGCATATTTCACGAAATTTCGCCACACGCAGGGACTCTGGAATATGTACCATTAATAAGTAGAACGAAATTTACAATAACTTTTATGTCGACTTCCCACTCGCTTCTTCTACTTACCCTGTACGACATGCAGCGCACGTTGACGTAGTTTAAATTGTGTCATATGCCGCGTATTGGCCGTGAGAAATTCCTTTTCGAATTCCTCATCGTTGACCTCCAATTCGGCCGCGCACAACTCGTTTCGCGAGTAAACATCCTTTGGCAACAATTTCCGCACCAGCTCTTCCAGCTCAGCGAGCGTACAACGTAACGACTCTTGCAATTCCACAAAGCGAATCATTCTGCGCCAGTTGCTGCACTTCGCATGCTTTGCAACAATGCGCGTAGCCAGTCGACATTCCACCACACGTTCATTGAAATCCGATGAAGCGGCTTTGTTTTTCGCCGCTAGGCTGTTCGCCACAATGAAGCATACGCCAGCTGGCAATTGTACAGGTGTGGCATTTAACTCCGGATGGAATTCAATGAATTGCGCACAGCCAGCCTTGGCCAGGTAGGCGATGGCCTGATCCATACCTCCACCCTGTGTGCCAATGTAGCGTTCGCAGCGCGCCGATATGGCGGCCAAGTGCCTGCGATCCAAAGGCAGCTGATGAACATGTGCTGTGGCCAATGCAGCGGCACTAACTAGCGCGCTCGAGCTACTCAAGCCCGAGGCTGGTGGAATGTTGCCGCTAAGCGCGATTGTCATGCCGAGTGGGTTGAATGGCTGCTTATCATCGCTTAGCTGTTGAATTTGGTCGTAGATGCCCTTAACACCACACAGATAGTAATTGTACCATTTTGGGCCGCCATTTGCGGGTAAGTCAATGCTGCGAAGAGAGACAATGAGTGACGCGTAAATATTTCTCAGCTAAGTAATGAAATGAGTGGGTGAAGGAGTGCTGCCTATTAGTTAGTGCATACCTTAAGGCATTCAAATCACATTTGAAGTTCGCGTAGTACGTTGCTTCGACGTTTCGTATTTGTAGAAATGTATTTTCCGCATTTTGGCCGACTGCGAGCAGAATGCACTGATCAATGGCCATAGGCAAGACTGGGTAACCGCAGTAGTCCACATGCTCGCCGATTATATTAACGCTGTCAATTAAAAAGAAAAGTATTTATGTGTATGTATATTTTTATATAAACGTATTTAAATTTAAAAAAAAGTTGCATGTGTAAAACACCGCGCCTGTTCATAAAAAATTATTTTACACATATTTTTAGTTCAGATAAGGTTGGCTTAAATGGAAAGCTATAGTTAAAGAGTTCACTCTGTGTTCGCACAGGCCCACGCCATGTCCAAGAGAGGACGCTCGCAGACCTATCCCTTCATGTCTTTAAACCTGATTCTGATTTTCTCGCGAACCCTTGTTGACCCTCGAATTGTCCCTCCTATGGATCTATGTATGTTTTTCACCTCTATATCTTCTACAGAATGGTTTAGGGTCACGTTATTATTCCCGGTTGAGAAGCCGACGTTGGATTTGAGCGTCTTCGCAAACTCGATGTCTGCTCTCCAGTCGAACAGGGACATGGAGTCGGGTCGTCTCGAAGCAGAGCATTGTTGGGGTGGTTTCCTCAGTTAAATTTCACGAAGAACTGTTCGGTAATAGGATGTCTGGCTTTCTTCGTGGATAACAGCCTGTAGCCGTACGTAGAGCTGAGTTCTGGCCGGATTGCAATATTCTACACTGCCTTTCGTTCGTTCTTGTCAACCACACAGGTGCTGAATACTTTGGTATCGATCGGCCGATTTCTCTGTATATTGTGACCAGGGTCTATTTATAGGCTCCCGAGATGCTGTCGGTTAGTGATTTGATGACTTTGTTGGATAGGTTGAATGTCGGTATTTTGGTGCCATCGACGTATAGATCGAGCTCTAGGCTTATTTTCTTGATCCATGTGACAAAAAGTGTGGCAGTGGATTTCGCGGCAGAAATCTCGAGTGAAGAAGTTCGAAAGGTCGCAAATCCCAAGATGGTTGGTTCTAAGTTTAACGGAATGACATTTTTTTTGCTTATAAAAACCATCGTTTTGTGTTTAACTGTTATTGATTTGAAATAGATTTAAATTTTTGGAATATAATAATAATTCAGCAAGGATTTCAACTAAAATCTTTCAAAGAATCAAAACACCGATGTTCGACTATACCCCTTTTTTATGTATTATCCCTTTTTTCTCTTTTTTTTTTTGTACCAAAAAGTTTTGTTAGCTAAATTTTTTTCGTCAAATTAAAGTGTTTAGATGACACCTTAAAAGATCGCGACAGAGAGAGCACGAAAAGAACTTGAGGCAAAAACAGCATATGTCAACGAAAAATAATTTACCGCCTTTTAAATTTTTTCTGTTTTCAACCACTGAATGTTTTCTTTTAAAATAAAAAGCTTTGAAGATGTACATATTGATGGTCCTGTGCAATAACGACACAATTCAAAATTCAAAAAATAAAATCGGTTAGTACTGTTAAGTGGCTCATGCCTCTAATCCTTGTCGAATCCATGTCTAATCTTTTGTACTTACTTTAGCAATCCTTACTGCTTACTGTAGTAAGGGATGGAAATGGATTAGACATTGATTAGAGACATGAGCCACTTGACAGTAGTAACAGTTTTCCTTTTTCGAATTTTGAATTGTGTCTTTATTGCACTGGACCATCGATATGTACATACGTTATTTTTCTCTGCCCACAGATATGCTAATAAATTTTTGTCTCCAAATATGACAGTGAAAACCAACCAGCCTTACGTATATAAAATCGATCACCTGCATATGCATGTGCATTTATAAAATGTCTCAAATTTCAGAGGAAGGCAACTGGCTGAAAATATTAATTTTGAATTTTACTTTTTAATTTTGTAAAAAAAAAAAAAATACTGGTAAAAATACTGGTAATTAAAATTGCTGGTATTTTTTAAGTTTTAGTAAACGTTTCATTCATTATTGCGCATATCGGTGAGGGCGACACCTATAATTTTTTTTTGAAAATTTAGCGCATGTCGGGGCACCATATAACTACACCATCACACCACCTACCGTCCAGGCATACGAACATAAAATTCCGGTTCCTCTCCAAACTGGCTGCAGTAAAAATCGTGAAGTTCACTGAGACGCGAATATAGTCGATGTTCCGGCCGAAGTTCAAGACTCGACATACAGATGACGCCTTTCGCACTTGCAGACATTTTACCGATTTCCTATAAATGAGAAGCAGATGTTGCCGCTGTAGCTGCTGAACTTTTTCTAGCGGTAGAGGTTTGTCGTCACTACCGCATTTTGGACCCTAACCGCTTCACGCTAGGCATTTTTTTGATCCCAAAACAAAGAAAGCTGTCGTAAGAGAAATGCCAAAATAACGAAAATGTGTGAAATGGTTAATAACAAATAAAAACGAATCCTACTGAAAGCAGTCTGATGAGGAAATGTGGTGATTTCCGAAATAGCTATCACTTCTACCATTTTTTCAAATTATTGTTGCTTTTCCACAATAAGTTTTCACTGAAAAACGGCCTCGAGCTCATAAAAATTGTTGAATATAAAAACGAACATATAAACAGAAAGATACAAATTCATCGGTGAATATGGTAAAGCACACAAAATGCACTGTGAAATAATAATATTCCTATTAGATCTCCTAGAGACTGGCGACTAGCAAGTGGGGAGCAACTTCTGCTTTGCATGTGGCGAAGTTCGAACTTGCAAATGGGCATCAACTCAGTTTGTGCTTGTGAGTCTGTTGCGGTTGGAGCTGAAATTCTGCATTCCTTTGTGGCAATTGGCCACGATTCACTGTGTATCAGGATCGAACAGTCAATCCAATATACAGTTGACAGGCATTCAAGAAAATCTAATAGGCACATACGTGTTATTAATAGGAAATTCTTTGATGGCGATTGCGCGGAATAAGTAATCTTCACTTTAACAAACCCAAAACAAAATATATGTACATTCGGAATAAGAAAGCTTGTCATAACAGATGCTGGTACACCACTCAGGTGCTATAGCAGCCAGCACAGAGGGTGTACCTGTAGAGTCTGCTGAAACGGATTTCAACACTCCATAGTAAGATTTCCTAAAAAAAATTTCACCATACAATTTTTACTTTTTAATTCCTTAATGCAGTAAAGCGACCAAACATCTGTTTGAGAGTGAGTTGAAGGGATAAGGCGTAAAACCTCGCGTGCGCTGGGTGTGGTTGCCACTACGTTAAAAGGATTACCATTTGAATTTATGCACCTGGAATATCCGGACCCTTAATGAAGAAGCTATCTCTGCCGGCTGGTTGGTGGTCTCAGGAAGACAAAGGCTGACATCATATCGAACGAATGTACTGGATATCTTTATAGATATTTCGTACTCAATACAGATTTTTTAATAGACACACATCGTTACCTTGGCATTGAAGGATCCTAACTCATTTCTCTTTCTAAATCTGACGTCGTACAAAATTCTGTATATCACTCACTAAGGACTTAGTTTTTTTTTTTTAATTTAAAACAATTACTATGAGCATCAACAAAATATTTTCAGTGTTTGACAAAAACCACTCGTTATAAAGTTTGTAACAGAAATACTTCTTAGACCGGGACTTTCTACATTCAAGCAACGATATAAACAAATGTGCATACATACATAAATATGTACATGCATTTGTATGTGCTACGCGGGAATGTATTTACGAATATATCTACCCAGTGAGAAAAGTAGTGATATCATTACATGCGTGACAAATAATATAATGTATTTCTTTTGAGTTTAAGATTCCATTACTTATTAATATATAATAATCATTCTAATGTATCCAAAAATTCCAAAACAAATCATATTAAATAGCATAAATTCACTGATTACTAGGTAATGCAAAATTGAATGCCTACTACTTTAATTTAGGATAGCACCCTGGGAAAAATAATGCCTTTCCGAATGTGAAAACATCTGTTTTACTGATTATTTTTTCGATTACCATACATTTTCCCACTGGATACATACATACATATGTATCTATGTACATATATCTTTGAATTAAACGTGCTTTGATGCATTAAATGGAGTTTTTTAACACATAGGTATATACATATACCCTGAAGGGAACCAGTCCGATAATAACTAGATCCCCACCTGTCCAAAATCGTCGAAATGTGGTACTTTTAAAAGCTATTTTATTTCACCTTTTCCATTAGAAATCTATATCTAAGGTAATTAAGAACTGGTTCGGAACTATAGCAAAATTAATGCAGAACGATCAAATCTAATCTGTCGAATTTAGAACTAGTTCGGAACAATCGAAAAAGGGATGCAGCGGGGGCTTGTTTATTTTACATTGATATGAGTTTGGCGGCTTTTTCGTTCAAATACGCTTCTAGTCTGCACTTCGCAGATGCTTTTTCATACCTTGGTAATACAAAAACAAAAATTTATGTTAACATTTTAACATCTTGGATCTTCTGGAATCTAACCAATAACAGCAAGCACCTCTGCAAACTCAGATACAGCCAAAGGCATGTAAACGTACATTTCTTACAATCATTTATACAAATTTAATTTCAAATTTAACATAATTAAAAATCGCACACGCGGAAGAACTAAAGACATGAAAAAATCATGATACTTTTTTCTTTCGTCTGTCGACTTTAGAACTGGTTCGTAACTATAGAATTTAGGACTCGTTCGGAACTATCGAAAAAGGGATGCAGCGGACACTTCCTAGGACATCGCCATTTTAAATTCGCCAGTTGTTTGCATGCAAAAGAGATTTATCGCGAACTGTACATTACTGGATCTAACTGTACTAGAAGCGCACCAGTTCAGAACTACAGATTTTCCAACAGGGTAATTTTAGCACAGCGCACACACACACACACACACACACGCGACAGCGAATTGATAAGAGACGGCGGCGGCAGAGCGAGCGAGCACAACAAGAACGACAAGTAACAATAACAATCAATAATAAAAGAGGTTATTGCGTTGATTAGACTGCATTGCACTGGTTATGGTAGACTTTTTATATTAATTCCGCCCGATTCAGCAAGTTTTATTAACCTATTTAATTAGTACTACACCACGCCAGAAGGTAGAAGAAATTTTATAATGCATCCACTTTGCAGTGGCGCTTTTGACTGGGGAAATGTCAAAATTCGATAAGGAGAGAAAGCGACAAATCAGCAAAGCTAGTCGTCATTTGTTCTAGCAGAGTGGAGAGAGTATTCTTGGGAGAGTGCTCTCGAAAATGGGTGTGGATATGAGGGAGACGATAGAAATGCGCGCGCTGCACAGTGACTTCGTTTCGTAACGACAGGGGTAAAAATTGCTAGCGTTGCTGTAGTGAATTTGAATATTTTAAAACCAATTAATTATTAAGAAATTTATAAGGGCACACAAGGTGTTGTATACTGTCGTATTGTTGTACATATGTCATAAACTCGAAACGATTAATACTATATTTAAGGGATTCGCATGCTACCATAAAAGTCGTATTATCAATTTTTACACCGTTAAAAAAATAATTGGTTGTGGTTTCAAGTCCTCTAAATAGTTATTTAGTCGTTTAGAAGAACCTAATTATTTTTCTTATTATTTGCCGATAACGTAAAGCAATATTTGTCACGATCAAAAAACTCTGCGTGCTCGGGTTAGATGCATGTCGAGTAATATTTCCATTAAGCAATAAATTTGTCACCTACAGTATAAAAACGGCTCGTACAAATTCAACTTTGTAAGAAAATATTAAATAAGAATGTTGCGAGCAAAACGGAAAGTGCCAATAAAAAACACTTGTATACATGCCTACGAAAAAATGTGCACATGTGCGTATGTATGTACATTAGGGAGGTAAAAAAAAAAATCATAGCCAGTCCTTAGAACTGCATAATATCGAATATAAGGTGACCCTTGGTTTTTTTTTATTTTGAAGTCGGTTCAAATTTAACCGTGCCGCCCGGGGCCTTGAAGTGTTCAATGGGAAAAATAATTATCGCACATTTAACTTTAAAATTTTTTATAACGAACAATCTCATCTCATATTTCACGCACGTTTTGAAAAATTTGTAAAATTTTAAAATTAAATTTGCATAATAATTCTTTTTGGAAGAATTCTAAAGAAATTATTATTTTTTTTTTGATAAAATCGTATTTACTTTTAACGATTTCAAAGCAAATGTACGAAAAATTATCGAGTCCTAACCGCCAAAATAGCGTAGGCGACATTATTTTCAATTTTTTTTTGATGCAGAAATATTCCTAGATCATTTCGGCATCAAAAAGAAAATTTTGAAAAAAATGTCGCTTACGCTATTTTCGCGGTTAGGGCTCGATATATTTTCTACATATAAAATATGTAGATATAAAGAAAAACCCCAGCGGCATCGTTAAATATTAACAGATTTTAAAATAAAACAAAAAACGTGTCTTCTTATTTTCCATTTTCTATAGTTCTGACGAGTGGCGGCGAGAAAATTCCGATAAGTTGATTTTCCTGTTATATTTTGATCACCCTAATGCATATGGTACATGCAATCAGAATTAATAAGTAAGGGCCCAAAAAAATCCGAACTCTGCCTAAATATGTACGTCAAATAAGTAAGTGTAACAGATTTGACGAAATAATTACAGAAATTAAGGTAGTAGTCTATGTATTATTTTTCCTTTTAAAAGAATAATAATTGCAAAAATCACAGAAATTCGCCTCGCTTCCGAAAAAAGTCTTTCCGTTCACACTCAACCGACGACAACGACATGAAATCAACTGAAATTTTTTATTAAGATTTCTTGCGTATTTCTACATCATACTTGATATCGCAGCACTGTTGTTGTATTCTTGTTGTTTTTGAACTCATAGTTTACCAACTTGTTGCCTTATCAGCCGATGCAATACAGCATTTTTATCTTAATTTGACTCGCTTCATTATTGTGCCAACCAAAGGTATGGCTATTATGTGCTTTTAAATACATATACACACATACACACATGCATATGTACATACATACAAACACCAGTCACTGTAGAACCAGTTGTATCTGCATTTTAAATTAAAAAAAAAAGATCTGTCGTCACCTTCAGATTCCGTTAAAGAAGTTTGGGTATTCATTCATATTAGTTTTTGAATTATTCATAGAACCATTTAATATCAGTTTTTCATATAAAAAATTAATTTATATAAGTCAGCATTATGCTATAGTTTTACAATAGTTTTTTAGTATTTACACATCGGCGGCAGCTACTTTGGCAAAACCCCATAAATCAAAACACTCTCTAACAAAAAACTGTATGTACAGTGACTCAAACAAATAACCACGTTTGATTTTTTTAAATATTTAAATATTTATTTATTTTTGTTATTTTTCTATAAAAATATCTTCCAAGCTTTAACCAAAACCGTATAAATCACTGTTTCAAACTTTATAAAAATTTAGGAAAATTTAAAAAATGTTCATCAAAAGTTCAACTTTCTACTCCGAATCTTTAGAAGATTTTTAGGTATTCAGTTTTATAGTCCATACTATTTTAGTCTGATGAAGTGCAAGTTTCAATCGGTTAAAAAATCCCGTTGATTTTTGAAGTTTTTATTTTTGTGACGGATTTTTGGCTTTTTTTCCATATAAACATGAATTTCTTATGAAATAAAACGCGGGAGATCGTTAGTAAACAAAACTTCAAAAAATCAACGCCAGGTTTTGTAAATCACACTTGCAATTAAAAACAAAACGAAAATGTATTAAAAAAAAATATCTCAACATTGAACGCGATTTTTCAGGCGGTTGAAGCTTGCACTTCATTGGACTAAAATTTTATGGGCTATAAAACTGCATACCCAAAAATTTTCTAAAGATTCATATTAAAAAGTTGAAATTTTTGTGAAATTTTGATGAATTTTCCTAAATTTTATATAAAGTTTGAAACTGTGATTGATATGTTTTTTGGTAAAGCTTGGACGATATTTTCATAGAAAAATAACAAAAAACATTACGAATATTAAAAAAAAGTCAACACGTGAAAATTTGTTTGAGTCACTGTATGTACTTGTACAACTGTATACGTAGACCTATTTGTACATAGAGTGCATTGATAAGCCGGAATGGTTTGACCTCGATGAACACTTCAGTAAGTAGGTTTATGAAAAAAGAAAACTGTTTCTTATTTTCTACTTTACAAACATAAGTTTATGATAGTTAACGTAATTAGTTATTTTTATTGCTGACGGTCGCTAATGTACCTTTAAAAGTAAATGCTTGTGGTCTCAGAGACATGCATAATTTTTACATGCCCTGTGTGTGTACTGTAGAATATTGAAGTTAACATTATTTTTTGAAGCTACATATAAGCATTCCCCTGTATATCAGGATGAATCCAATCCAATAGTTATGACAATCCTACTTCAGGCTCTGAAAAGTACTTCATTGTTCAAAAAAAATTTTCGCGCTGGACGCTCAGTGGTAATGGTATGAGCACAGGAAAAGGTCGAGCTATACATAGAATCTTCTGCTAGAGAACAAGAATTCTATTTCGAGCCCGACACTGCTCCTCATTACCCTACATCTTCACAATATCAGCACTCATATGTATCTAGATAACTATGCTTGCCATGAGCTGTCGCTTATAATTTAATTTGAATGACATCATTATTAAAATTTTATATTTAAGTAAAGAAGAAACAGTTCTGTAACTTTTTTTAGGCAAAAATCAAAAATTTCGAAAATTGAGCTACCAGTTATCATTTCTATAGCCGACACAGCGTGACCAGATTTTTTTTATCTGCACTTCTCAAGAAACAACTGTTTTTTTTTTAACAAAAAACCTTCAGCAACGAAGGGGTTTTCAGAAAATTGAGGTTTTAAACTGTATTACTAGAATGCAACTCCATCACCCCTTTTTATAATAAAAAATTTACTTCCAAAAAAGCCGATAGGTATATTTTCATTTATTTCGTTCAAATGTGATATTTAGAATAACTATTTTTACAAGGTGATTTAAAAAACCGTCTAAAAACTGTAATTTACAGTTGAAATCATGAATCTGGTAGCACTGAGCTGTCACGCGCATGTATGAATGTACGGCGCGTCAGTCAAATGCTTTGCCGTTTCTCAACGCGTTGCTTGTGCTTATGTAATTGACAAAACTTATAAGTAGAGGGCGCCATAGCGTAGGTTGTGCCTGTGCTGTAGGGGTTTTCAAAATTCCGCTAAAGCACGCTGGGCGACATCTGTTCGTTAAGTTCATTAAGGAAAGAGGTATAAAACATTGTGCAACCAGATTATATGCAATGTTTTGTGCAAAACATACAGAATGAAAAAAATTACATGCGAGAAAATTTTTAAAATTAGCAAAATAATTGAAAACCTCTTTTGTAACTGACTTTCTTAAGATTGTGTGATACATTCCTCTTCACTTGTATTGACTCAACGCAGTTAATATCGGCTTCTTAGTCCTTTAGACACATTTTCCGAACAGGATGTTTTTAGACGATCTGTCATCAGTAGAAGTTTATCCATTGATGATTTCTGGCAAGAATGAAATACAAAAATTTTAGAGTAATAAATTCATAATCTTTTACATTTAAGCTGAATTTTAGTGTAAAAACGTACAGGCAAGTGTTTAAGGAATTTATTACCTACTAATTAATTCATTTTCATTTTAAATAAATTAATGGATAACATTATAAATATATATTTTTTTATAATATTCGTTAATTGATCAGGATTTCTGTTTTAAACAAAAAGATATAATCCCCAAGAAACTCCCATAGCAAAAAACATCGAAAAATCGATAGTCATCAAACATCGATGTTTTTGTAGCACTAGTTTGTTTAGATGTACAGATGTATGTATGTATGTAGACTTAGGTGTGCGTATCGTGCGTTGTTCGTGTTTACACATAATGAGCTACAACTTGTTAACACAAATGCACAAAGTGCATTACCGTTATGCTGTGTAGTTGTTTGCAATGTCAGTCGTTGTGTCCGTCCTAACTGCACAAAACTGTGCCTACAATGGCTGATCAAAATGGCCAAAACTAACCCACCCACTGTTGCAATTGCAAGCCAATGCTAGGGTATCGAAGTAGGTGATGCATTTTTATGTATGTATTTCTGGGCGTACATAATATACATATGTACATACATACATATT